AGAGAGAAAGAGAGAGAGAGTGTGTGTGTGAGAGAGAGAGTCGGGGAGAGGGGAAGAGGGAGAGAGAGAATCCCAAGCAGGTGCTACGCTCCGCATGGAGCCCGATGCGGGGCTCGATCCCACAACCCTGGGGTCATGACCCGAGCCAAAAATCAAGAGTCTGCGCTACTCAGGCTCCCCTCCTGTTTTTTCTTCTTTAACTGGAGGTTTCACAGAGAAAAAAACTGTACTTCGTTTCATGTTCCGCGTTTCTGTTGCCTTCGTTTAACTGCGATTTCCCCGTACGAGGAGCACACTGCGTTTTGTGGACATTTGCTTCCTACCAGGTAACAGAGATCGTTAATATTTCATACTAGGCTCATTTTCTCTTTCTTTGGAAATAAAAAGCATTGGTCATTTCAAGCCTTCCCTCCCCCAACCCTTAGAGGGAATGTAAAAGTAACATGTTTGTTAAAAAAAAAAAATGGAGGGGCGCCTGGGTGGCGTAGTCGGTTAAGCGTCCGACTTCAGCCAGGTCACGATCTCGCGGTCCGTGAGTTCGAGCCCCGCGTCAGGCTCTGGGCTGATGGCTCAGAGCCTGGAGCCTGTTTCCGATTCTGTGTGTCCCTCTCTCTCTGACCCTCCCCCGTTCATGCTCTGTCTCTCTCTGTCCCAAAAATAAATAAACGTTGAAAAAAAAAAAAAATGGAATGAAGTTAGATAATTTATAATCAGAACGTTATAGGTAGACCAGAAACGTCCTCAGGTCCTCCTCATTTAGTAGAACAACTTTGAAAATGTTCAAGTTTGGAACAACTGCATGTACCGTTTTGCGACCTACCATGAACTAAATAATAAAAACAGATTCTTTATTTTTTTATTTTTATTTCTTTTTAATTTTTTTTTTAACATTTATTTATTTTCGGGCCAGAGAGAGACAGAGCGTGAACAGGGGAGGGTCAGAGAGAGAGGGAGACACAGAATCGGAAACAGGCTCCAGGCTCTGAGCGGTGAGCACGGAGCCCGACGCGGGGCTCGATCTCACGGACCGTGAGATTATGATCTGAGCCGAAGTCGGACGCTTAACCGACTGAGCCCCCCAGGCGCCCCATAGAAATAGATTATTTATTCTTATCTACACTATAATTCTCATTCTCTACTCCCCGAATATGTTTTTATCATAGAAATGTTGTCGACAAACTATTTTTACAGTATTGCAAATTTTTTTTTTTTTGCTTTACCCAACCCCCAGAATTATTTCATGAGCTACTTCACCGAGTGATAAGCAGCTGCATTTATTCATTTTTCCTTCATGCGATAAATAAAGAACCAATTCTATGTCAGGCCCTGTGGTAGACACTGAAGTCACCATGAACAGGTGAATAGGACACAGTCTTGGTCCTCAAAAAGCTCACAGAGTAGTAGGAACGTCTTCCACTTGACTAAGAGCTGTGGGCGCGGTGGGGGAGGGGGAGGGGGAGGGGTGTTCCAAGCAGAGTAAACCACATGCGGTACCGAGGGTTGGAACTTAAGACGCTGAGAGGCATATTGGCAGGAGACGCTGAAGCAGGGGAGTGGAGAAATCAGACTTGTGTTTAAGAATTCACCTTGGGGGTTGCCTGGGTGGCTCAGTCGGCTGAGTGGCCGACTTCGGCTCAGGTCACGATGTCACGGCTCGTGAGTTCAAGCCCCGCGTCGGGCTCCGTGCTGACGGCTCAGAGCACGGAGCCCGCTTCGGATTCCGTGTCTCCCTCTCTCTCTGCCCCTAACCCACTCGCCTTCTGTCTCGGTCTGTCTCAAAAGTAAATAAACATTAAAAACAAAAAAAAACACACAAGAAGTCACCTTGGCTGTGTGTGGAGGTCAAATGACAGGGAGCAAGAGTGGAGGCGGGGAGGCTGGGAGCCTGGTGTAGCATTCCGGAAGCGAGGTGACAGTGACGCGGACTTAGGATGGTGGCAGCCGAGGTAGAAAGAAGTAGATTAACGTAGGAACTGTTTCAGAAAGAGAGCCGATTGTGTTCATGCCGGTGTGGACGTGGAGTGAGCACAGTGGGAAGGAGTCGAGCCGGGTTTCTGGCTTGGGGAGCACGTATCTCGTTGTGTTGGGGAGAGGGGTCAACAGTTCCCTTTGGACCCATTGGGCTGGGGGGCCTGGGCCCACCATTTGGAGATGCAGGCAGTTGGGGACAGACTCCAGGGGGGCAGGTCAGGACTACAGGCATGAAGGTGGTGCTCGAACCCATGAGCTGGCAAAGCAGGGGAGATGGCCTGCCGCGAGCATGTGGGACAGGAAGAGAAGAGGGTAACGGGTGGGACCTGGAGTTCTTGGAAAGGACAGGGTGACCTCATGAGGAAGTACTCTGAGGGGGTGAAGGCAGTTGGCTTGGTGAGGCTGACACTCAGGGGAAAGAAGGTTCTGGGCCGGAGCTACGGGAGGTGTCCTTTAGGGAGCAGTAGGAGGTATGAGAGCAGGAGAAATAGACTAGAAAATGTAGTCTTTGTATCTAGAGCATTCCTTCTGGTAACAGATGTGGTCAGCAACTTGGTCGCCAGAGGCCAAGATAACGGGGAGATACCATTCCCAAAGAAGAAGAAGGCAGGGTGACGTGCAGGGGCGATGTTTAAACCCGGGGAGGTGAGGATACGAAGACTAAAAGTTTCGTCCAGGCTGGACGTAGGTTCCCTTTGGAGGAAGCCTACCAAAGGGGTGATGCCTCTCGCCCTGCCCCGCCCCCATGACCCCGCCAGGCAAGTGTGGCTGTGCACAAAGTGGCACTGAGCTACCGCGAGGCAGGGAGAGTCATGGCCCGGTGTATGGTCTCTTTTCTCTGGACCAGGCCAAGCCCTCTTCTCAGCTGGACCCGGGGTCCTGGCCTTCCTACGGGAGCCTGACATCTATAAGAACCTCACGAGCAACGTCTCCTTGCTGTCATGGCCGCTGCCCCACCTCCTTCAAGCGTCTCATGCGGAGGACAATGTGGAAGCAGGATATTCCGCTCCGGAGGGCAAGACAGCACTGTGGACGTATCGGTACGTGGGTCCCCGAGTCAACACATGTCACCTCTGCTCACACCAAAGTTCTCTTGTGGAAGTGCGCAGCCGAGCAAGTACAGCCACTCTGGGTCTCTTACTCGAAAAATCCCTCTATCGCAAGGGACAAAGAATGGCCCTGTCGGCCTCGGTGGAAGGATGGAGGGCCAGTTTCCCAGCTCCAGGCCCTCTTGCCTAAGGTAGAACCACGTAGGCAGCTATTAAAAAGGTAAAGCAGGGGCGCCTGGGTGGCTCAGTCGGTTAAACGTCTGACCTTAGCCCAGGTCATGATCTCACGGCTTGTGAGTTCGAGCCCTGCATCGGGCTCTGTGCTGACAGCTCAGAGCCCGGAGCCTGCTTCGGATTCTGTGTCCCTCTCTCGCTCTGCCCCTCCCCTGCTCATGCTCTCTCTCTCTCTCTCTCTCTCAAGAATAAATAAACATGAGAAAAAAAATTTAAAAATAAAAAGATAAGGCAACTGCTTCTCATCTAAGCACCCCCCCTCACCTCCAGCCTCGCTAAACTGTGATTAATCAAGGGAAAAACAAAGTCTCTTTTTAATCCCCGGCAGCCTTTCCAGAGCAGGCTGGAGATAAAGAAAGACCCCGATCGCTTTTCCCTGAACGGGCTTCACATCATTCATCAAAGGCTATCGCAGACCTCCGGGGACTGTGCTGTCACCGAGATACTTTGTGGTGCAACTGAGTTTGAGAACCGAGTTTGCAAAAACATCACCCAGGTCGGAAAGAGACCCCCTCGGAAAGATCCCCCCCCCCCACCCCCGCCCCCAACCCGGCGGCGGCGGGCTCGAGGGGCTGGATCACAGCAGTAATGTTAAGGGCTCTTTATTATTCAAAAAATAAATAACAAGATAATCACAAGTTCACTCTGGAAACAATGGAGACTGCAGGTAGATACGAGAGATTTCCTTTAAATACAGTCATTTCGGGAGGAGGAGTGGGCAGGCTGAGAGCGGCTGCCTCTGCTGTCTTCCTCCCACCTACAGTGGTGGAGACGGGACAGGGTTGAAATAAGAGAACCGGGTAGTAACAGCCTGACTGTGTGCGGATGAGGGGGGCGGAGGAGGGAGAGAATGAGTGTGGGGCGGGGGGAGGCGGGGGGGGGGGGGCAGG